ATGATGCTGCTTGGCCTGCTGTGTTCATCCAGCCCTGCACCTTGTTGCCTAGCACATTCAGTGAGGTGGTTACACTGCAGATGAATGCTGGACAAGCAGAAAGAGTATGGGTAACCACCAGGCAGACTAGAGTAGAGGAAGGCAGGTAGCACAGGAGTCCCCTGTGGCCTGTCCCCTTTTTGGAGACTGTTGGCAAAGATGACTGTGCAGAGGAAAGCAGTGGGAGCTGACTTCATTGCACCATGAGTGGATCTGAAGCACAAGAGGGGAAGAAAAAGAACAGCAGGGCTATAGTGGTAGAGGTTTCAACTGTAAGGGGAAAAGACAGGCATTTCTGCAGCCACAAAAGAGAACAGTATGTTGCTTCCCTGGTGGCAGGATTGGAAATGTCAGTGAACGTCTGCCGGGTATTCTGAAAGGGGGAGGACAAACAGACAGGGATTGCGATACATATTGGTACCAATGGCATAGGTAGAAAAAGGCAATGAGGTCCTGCAAGCAGAATTTAAGGGACTAGTAAGTGGATTAAAAAACAGAAACCAATTGATAATAATTTCTGGATTAGTTCTGGTGCCACATGCTAGTGAGCATAGAAATGGGAGGTTAAGCCCAGATAAATGACTGGGACCATTGTTGACATCAGTAGAACCTGTACAAGGCAGATGTGTTGTACCTGAACCACAATGGGACCAGCATCCATGAGAAGAGATTTGCTAATGATGTTGGAGAGTGCTTGAACTAATTTGGCAGGGGGGCATAGGATCACAGAGAATGTTAGCAGGGAAAGGTGAATGGCCAAAATTAAAAGAGACAGCAAATGAGTCATCGCAGCACAGAAATTGTAGGCCACGTGAGGCACAGGGAAGTTTGGCAACGTTGGATGGTGTTTATTTTAATACAACGAATCAAATGAACATAGCAGATGAGTTGAGGACACAAATCAGAACGTGGGGGTAATAATGTCATTGCTGTCAATGAGACATAGTTAAGAGTGGGGCAGTATTGACAGCTCAATATTCCAAGATATAGGCTCTTCAAGAAATATGGAATGTATAAGGTCAACATCTCCCAAAAAAAGATAAAGGGTGCCACTAAAAAATTGAGCAAATCCTGGACATCAAGGGATATCCAAGATTGGATAAAGAGAAAAAGGTAGGTTTATGGTAGGTACCAAGTGCTCAAAACAAAAGCCTATAGGAGCCGAGAATGTGTAAGGGATAACTTTAAGAGGGACAATGAGAGCAAAAAGGGGGCATGAAAAAATAATGGCAGGTAAAACAAAGGAAAATTTTAAGTTACACTATTTTATAAGTACATTAAGGGTAAAATAATAATTAGGAAAAGAATAGGACCCTTAAAGACCACAGTTCTAACTTGTGTGCAGATTGAGAGATTAGTATAGAAAGAGGGAAGGTTTTGAGTAGTCTGGCAGGGCTGGAAGAAATGTATCCCAGACTTTTGAGTGAGGCAAGGGAAGAAATAAGGGGCTCCAGCAATAATTTCACTTCTTCTGGCCACAGGAGAGGTGCTAATGACAGTCAATGTATTTCAATTATTCACAAAGATAGCATGGGATAAACCAAAAAACTACGGGCCATTCAGGCTAACGTCAGTGGTGGAGAAACTACTGGAAGCAATTCTAAAAGACAAAATTAATCTGCACATAGGGAGGTAGGAATTCATCAAGAATGGCCACCATTGCTTTGCTAAGGGAAGGTCATGCCTTAGCAACTTTACTGAATTTTTCGAAGAGGTGGCCAGGTATGTTGATGAAGGCAAAGCATTCGGCATGCCCACAAGGACTAAAGCAAAGCCGGTGATAAAGTTCGGCAAGGGAGACTGATATGGAATCTAAGAGGCCACAGAATCAAAGGAAATTTGGCTAACTGGATCCAGAATTAGCTGAGTGGTAGGAAGTAGAGGATGGTGGTCATGGAGTGTGTGTGAATGGAAGCCTACGGTCAGTGGGATTCCACAGGGATCAATGTTGGGCCCCTTGCTGTTTGTGGTATACATAAATGATTTAGACTTGAATGTAGGAGGTTTGATCAGTAAGTTCATGAATGATACAAAAATTGGTGCAGTGGTAAATAGTGAGAAGAATAGCCCTAGATTAGAGGAGGATATGTATAAGCTGATCAGATGGATCGATCAGTGGCAAATGGAATTCAATCCAGGAGTGAGGTGATGCACTTGAGCAGGACAAACAAGGAAGGGAATACATGATGAACAGTAGACCCTGAGAAGCACCAAGGATCAAAGGGACCTTGTTGTGCATATCCACTAGTCCCTTAAGGTGGTGGGATCAGGTAGATAAAAGTGGTTAAGAATGAATATGGGATACTTACCTTTATCAGCCATGACAGGGAGTTTAAGAGCAGAGAGGTTATTCTGAAACTATAAATGGCTGGTTAGGCCACAAACAGAGTTGTGCGCGCAATTCTGGATTCCACATTATAAAAAGGGTATGTTTCTGCACTAGAGAGGGTGCAGAGAAAATTTACCACAATGCTGCCTGAGCCGAAGAGTTTTACTTATTATAGACTAGGGATGTTTGCCTTGGAGTAGACTAGACTGAGTGGGGGACATGATTGAAATGTATAAGATTATGAGGAGTACAGATAGGATAGACAGGAGGAACATTTCCTGTTGGTGGAGGGATCAATGACCAGAGGACATACATTTAAGATAAGGGCAGGAGGTTTAGAGGGAATGGAAGGAAAAGTCTTTTTATACAGTGTTGTGGGAATCTAAAACTCTGTCTGTGAGGGTGGTAGAGACAGAAAACCCTCAAACTTTTAGTATTTAGATGTACACTTACTATGCTATGTCATAAAGGCTATAGGCCAAATAGGATTAGAATTAGATGTGGTGGATATTTTTGACAGGCATATACACGATGGGCCGAAGTGTGTCTGTTCTGTGCTGCAGTCCTCTATGACTTTAAGATATATGCTTATTAAACAATGAAAATCAATTCTCAACTTGAGGATGTTACATTTATGTAATATCAGTCCAAATACTCACTAATACTGTGGCTTTACTTACATGAATTGGTTTGGGAATTTACCAATGTGGAGGTACATAGCTATACGCAGGTGTTCCTTGAGTCCTGTATGTTGGCACGGAAACAGGATGTGGTCCTAGTTGAGTGTGTTGTGGCGTGGTCAGCAGAGTCCCTTGAGTGGCACAGGAGATAAAAATCTTCAGATTAGTACAGATTTTTATTTGAAGAGCTTTGTTTCTGTATAGAAAAAAAAATTCTGTGACCTTTTTAAAACAGTTACTGTACTACTTTAATATATTAGTCTATCCTTCCCATTATTCACTTTGGATGCATCACAGCAGGTAATAAGGATACTCAGCAATTCTTATTTCAACCTGTAGAGCACAAGAAGAGTTCTTTTTACAGAACACCATGGATCAAATGATTTCCCTCAAACATGTTCCCTAATGACTTTCAAATTTCACAATGCCATTAAGATGCTTCTAAAAGTAGATGAGTGATTTAGAGAGAGGGGTTTTTTTGATATATTCAACTTGCCATTTTTTTTTAAAATCTCAGTTTATGCTTCCTAAGCTGGTGCTATGCCTATTTTCTCCTACCACAATTGATTAAACTAACTTTCGGGAACTTGAACACCATTGCCAAGTACTTTGCTTAAGCTAAAGTTCCTACTAGTATGTTCAGACACCTCTGCCTTCAGTCTGATTCCCTTGGTTGCAGAAATATCAAGTCTAAATTTGTGCTCACTTTATAACAACACTCATTTTGAAGCAATGAAATATGGGATACCTGAAGAATGTGATGAAACACCAAATAATTGCAAGCATTTATGTTTTTCTTTCACTTACTGATCAGCAAATCATCCTGTTATGCTTGGGGTTTAAGTACACAATTGGAGAATATTAAATTATTACAATGAAAAACAGGTGGTAACTTTACCAAATGATTGACCATTTATGTGCAAGTTTAGATGAGCATGTTAGCACAACAAGTCATCAGCATTACAGCAACCATAAAAGGGAATCCAAAAATCTTCCATAAGCAGATAAATAATAAAAAGGTGGTAAGAGCAGTGAAGATGATTAGACAGCATATAAAGGCAGGGGGTATTACTGTAGTATTAAATTTATCTATCTTCCAATGGTAAAGTATTATGTTCAGGTCATGGTGAAAGAGATACTTCAGATACTAGAAGGGTTTAAAATTGATATGGCAGAGATGATAAATAGGTTGTCGGTACTTAAAATAAGGTACCAGGACCAAATGAGATGCTTCCCAAGGAGAGTGAGTGGAAAGTGTAGGGTACAGAACATAATTTTCCAATCTTTCTTGAACTCAAGAATGGTGCCAGATTTAAGGTAACTGGCAAAAGAAGCAATGACGACATGAGGAAATACCTTTCTGCACTACGTGATTAGGATATGGAAGGATGTCTCTGAAAGCATGATCAGGGTCAATTGAGGCTTTTCAAAAGGAATTGCATCACTATGTGAAAAGGGGAGAGAAAAATGCAGGGCTAAAGAGAAAATGGGAAAGACACTACATGAATTGCACCTTCAGAGGGACAGCACAGACATCAGATCACAAAGGGTCAGATGATCTTTGAACTGTTTAGAAACAAACCTAGATTTCAGAAGTGTCTTTGCTACAGGAATCCCTGCAGTGGGAAACTGCAGTACAACTAGCTGAGGAAACTTAGATATTAACTGAAATCATGCAGATGTATAGGTAACCACCTTCAGCATACACAGATTAAATATATTGAAAAGTGCACACCATGAAATAAAAGAAAATGCTAGAAAAATTTAGGAGGTCTGGCAAGATCTGTGGAGACAAACAGTAAACATATCAGGTTGACGATCCTTTGTCAGATTAAGAGATATGAAGGGTATGTTTGGGTGAGATAGGACTCTCTCATGCCTTTTTTTTAATGCAAGTACCTCAGAATGATTCAATTCTCAGTTGGGCACCTTATCATAGTATAAATACTTGTGGTACTTGCATCTTCAGAGAGAAGGGATGGACTAAAATGTGCACATAAAGTGACATATCAAAGATAAATTGTTATAGTAATGCACACATTCACAAAAACTATTAAGCATGATATACCTGCTGTCATTGCCATGGTTGTCCCGGCAACCATTCCCATAGCCATCCCATTGGTCCGTGGAGCAGGGACAGAAGTTGGATAGATAGCAGGTTGAATGCTATTGGGTTGCACCACTGTAGTATGATGAATTACATGAGGCTGGGCTGCATACACAGGCTGTGTGTAATAGGCCCCCTGCTTAAAAAAAAATCAAGGGATCAGCTAAGTCCTACCGCAATATTTGACTAGAACTGCATGTCATACCTACAAAAAATCAATGATAGACTCAAATTACAAACATCAAGACATCAACAATACTTTACCACAAATGCTACAGAACTCAAGAAAATGGCCTATCACTACCATAAGGCATTCAGTGCTATGCAATAATAACAATAAGGACCATTTTTGCCAGTGAAGGCTGCAACCGAAGATTGCTAAAAAAATTAGTTGAATAAATACATGCAGAAACAGAAAAAAACAAAGAAACAGAAACAGTTATACTGCTGTACATTGATTAAGTCTGAATCCTTGCTTCTCTCGTCAAACATTTGCTTAAGATACTGTAAATCTAAGCAACACAAACCAGACCAGTGAGAACTTGGCCTTTTACAGACGGCGCTTTGTTATGTTTTTGCTTCTCACTTTTAGATTCGAGTCATGATCCTATCACTGTCTGTTATACTTTTTTTTAAAACATTTGATTTATTATTGTCACAAATACAGCTAGAAAGATCCATTGATGAGATCAACGAGTTAACACAAGATCCAACTGGACTACATTTTCTTTTGATACTGCCCAAATTCTCACAACTGTCCACTTGGTAAGACACCTTACAGTTGTTGGCACACAAAGAATCAACTTTCTAATGGGTTCTAACCAAAAGTCACTGTTTACAACTTTTCTTGAAATTGGTAACTATGGGACACAAGAAAAACCAAGAAAACCACTGAGAACACATCTGTGCTAGACTTTTACCCCATCAGCCAATTATTTGATCCCACAGTTCAACTTGATTTCCATACTTTTTGATAATTTGTTCATGAAATATGGGTGTCCGTGGCTAGGCCAGTATTTATTACTCAACCTTATTTACACATATGGTGGTAGCAAACTTTTTTTTTTTTTTAAACTGTAGGGTCACCCACACTACTGTTAAGAGGAAAATTCTGGGACTTGGCACCAAGAGCAAATCAGCAGCAATATAGCTCCAAGCCAGGATGGTGTGGCACTAGGCAGTAGAGGTCATAGGCATGGAGGGCACTATCTAAGGAGCCTTGTGAATTGCTGCAGTGAATCACGCAAACAGTATACACTGCTGCCTCTGTGCATCAGTGGGCTTAGACCATAAGACATAGGAGCAGAAAGAGTGCAAAATGATGCAGTGGGTGCCAATAAAGTGGGATGCACAGGATGGTGTCAAGCTTGAGTGTTATTGGAGTCGCAGCCATGCAGGCAAGTGGAGAGTATTGCACCATACTTTTCACTTGTGCCTCAAAGATAGTGGGCAAGCATCATGGAATCAGAAAGGGAAATTAATTGCCACAGAATTTCTAGGCTATGACCAGCTCTCTCAGACAAGGGAATTCATATAGCTCACCCAATTCAGTTGCTGGTTAATTGTAATCCCAAAAATGCTGGTGGTGAGAGATTCAGTGATGGTTGATGGCATTAAATGTCAAGGAGTGATGTTTAGATTCTCTTTTGATGGAGATGGTCATAGTTTGTCTAGTGTGTAAAAAACGTCATTGGCCGCTTATCAACTCGAGTATGCATGTTCTCCACCTCTGGCTGCAGTTAGATACAGACAGCCTGAATATCCAAGGAGTAAAGAATGATGCCGAATCTGATGCAACCATCAGCAAACACCCTCACTTCTGACCTCATGATGGAAGGAAGGTCATTGAGGAGCAGCTGAAAATAGCAGGATCCTACACTGAGGTACTCTTCCAGTGATGTCCTGGGGCTGAGATGATTGACCTCTAACAACAAAATTATTTTGCTTTGCGTTAGGCATGAATCCAACCAGCGGAGACATTTTCCTATGATTTCCTTTGACTCCACTATTATTACTGGGGCTTCTTGATACCATACTAAGTCAAATGCTGCCTTGATGTCAAGAGCAGTCACACTCACCTCACCTTGGGACTTCACCTCTTTTGTCCATGTTTGGACTAAAGCTAGAATGAAGTCAAAAGCTGAGTGGCATTAGAGGAATCTAAGCTGATTGTCAGCGAGCAAGTGATTGCTGAGCAACTGCTGCTTAAAGGCTCTGTCGATGATCCCTTCCATCACTCTCCTAATCAGAGTAAGCTGATGGGGAGGTAATTAGCCACATTGGACCTTTCCTGCTTTCTGTGGACAGGACAAACTTGAACAATTTTCACATTGCTGGGTTGACACTGATCTTGTTGTTGTACTGGAGCAGCTTTACAAAGGGCATGCCAAATTCTGCAGTACCAGTCTTTGGTAATACTGTCAAAATAAGCTAGGACCCATAAACCTTTGCAGTAACCAGTGCCTTCAGATTTTTTTTT